TGTTAGGAACCAAACCAGAGACTCTGCATCTAATAGAAGAAAAAGTAGGCCCTAATCTTCATCATGTGGGATTACACCCCAACTTCCTTAATAAGACTCCTATAGCACAAGAATTAAAACCAAGAATCAATAAGTGGGATGGATTCAAACTAAAGTTTCTTCTCAGCAAAACAAACTATCTGTGAATAGAGAGCCTACATCGTGGGAGCAAATTATTACCTGACATATCAGATAGAGCACTAATCTCTAGGGTATATAAAGAACTCAAAAAGCTAAGCACCAAAAAAAATAAAAAATAACCCAATCAATAAATGGGCCAAGGACTTGAACAGACACTTCTCAGAAGAGGATATACAATCAATTAACAAATATATGAAAAAATGTTCAACATCTCTAGCAGTTAGAGAAATGCAAATCAAAACTACTCTATGATTTCATCTCACTCCAGTCAGAATGGCAGCTATTAGGAATACAAACAACAATAAATGTTGGTAAGGATGTGGGGGAAAAGGCACACTCATACATTGCTGGTAGGACTGCAAATTGGTGCAGCCAATATGGAAAGCAGTATGGAGATTCCTTGGAATGGAAATGGAACCACCATTTGACCCAGCTATGCCTCTCCTCGGTCTATACCCAAAAGGACTTAAAAACAGCATACTACAGGGACATAGCCACATCAATGTTTATAGCAGCCCAATTCACAATAGCTAAACTGTGGAACCAACCTAGATGCCCTTCAGTAGATGAATGGATTAAAAAAATGTGGCATATATACACAATGGAATATTACTCAGCAATAAAAGAGAACAAAATCATGGCATTTGCAGGTAAATGGATGGAGTTAGAGAAGATAATGCTAAGTGAAGTTAGCCAATCCCCAAACAACAAATGCCAAATGTTTTCTCTGATATAAGGTGACTGATCCACATTGGTGTAGGGAGGGGGAACATGGAAGGAATAGACAAACTCTAGTAGGGCAGGGCAGGGGGAGGGGAAGGTAGGGGGTAGGGGGTTAGCAATGATGATGGAATGTAATTGACATCACCATCCAAAGTACATATATGAAGACATGAATTGGTATAAACATACTTTATATACAGAGATACGAAAAATGTGCTCTATATGTGTAATAAGAATTGTAATGCATTCCACTGTCGTGTATTTTAAAAATAAAATCAATTAAAAAAATAAATACATGTCATGTTCTTGATGAGTTCATAATCCTGGGAAGAAAACATAAGAATGAAAAAAAAAAAAGCTGTGTAAGATCACTTCAAGTATTGCTCAAGCAGTTAAGTACAATAGCTAAGGAAGAGATTAATATTACTAGTTATCATATAGGGGATGCAGGGATGATGGTTACTCTTATATAAAAGAAACATGCAAAGAAATATTTACACTTACCTTGAATTTTCTAAGCTAATCTAATATGCAAACTGATATATTTTTAGTGACACCCAGAATTGGAATAAGTTCTTGAAAGTACAGACAGAAAAAATGCATCTGTCCTACCCAGTAAAATAACTTGGTGTTAAAATATAATCCTAAATAGCAAAAAGATACAGAAGCACATGAAATATAGCCTTTTCCACAAAGATCTGTAGAATCTTTTCCACAGATGAACACAAAAAGAACAATCTTTACAAATGTTTTCCTTAAACTATAATCAAAGCCATAAATCAAAAACTATGGCTACAGTTAACTATTTTATCTATAACAAGCAAAACTAATGCTGCTGCACTTGGTTTAAAGGAACACAGAATAATTACACCTGGCTGACCTATTAAGATACTCTGGAAGACAGAATGATTAAGATTCTCAAGAAAATTACAGACCCATTATTGTAGGTACAATTTGTGAGTATACAACCTATATGTAAACACAAACAGATGTTGACTTTTACATAAAATTCTCAAAGGAGTCAAATTAAGTACTAAGCATTAGTGACAGATAATTTCTAAACCTTTTCACTAGTAAAGAACAGGTGTCATCTTCACATCTATAGTCATTAAGAAGCTTCACCCTGGGGCTGGGGTTGTGGCTCAGTGGTAGAGCGCTCACCTAGCATGCACAAGGCCCTGGGTTCGATCCTCAGCACCACATGAAAATAAACAAATAAAGATGTTGTGTCCAACTACAACTAAAAAATAAATATAAAAAAAGGAGCTCCACCTCTTCCCAACTCTTTCAGTATGAAACTGAACTTATCCAAAGATAAGTTACCTTCTTTTTTCATATTGGCCAAAAATAAGAAAAGGAAAATATTAAAGAGACTTAATAACAAGAGAATGCAGGGGAAAGAATGCATTCATTAGAAACTCAAAATATGAAATACCTCACTATATAATCATTGTTTTAATCACTTTTCAAAACATACCTATATCCCATGAATTACAATATGTGGTGTCCAGCTTTTACTTTATTACTTGTTCCACTAGGTCAACCCTTTAAACAAAATAAAAAAGCCTTCCATCCAAAAAGAAATTCATCTTCAATTTCAATATTAAATACAAAGTATTTTTATTTCATTTCCATATCAAAATTATTTTGTATTTAGTTCCACTCCTAAGATCCCTCTGAAATGAGTTTTCTCCAATAGGAGTGAGGTTCGTTACCAAATAATTGCATCTCTTTTCAATAATTATGTAATAAACAATTTTTTAGCTAAGTATATCTGTATCATTTATACATAATAATTTGTCATCATTTTAATAAGAAGTATTTAATTGTCTACAATTTTTTCAAATTAAAGATCACCAAGCAAATTTAAATAAGACCTAAACATATCAATATACTTAATGTCTTTATTTTTTAGAACATAAAAATGAACAGAAAACTATTTATGCTTTCTTAAAATCTTTATAAGCATGCACTGTTTGGGGGGAAATTATAATCATTTATTGTTTAAAACAATTTCAAAAACTGAAACAAAACTAAAATATTTTATTTCTCACTTTCATCTTAGAGAGCAAAAATGAACACTTAATTTCAGTATTACCCTTTTTCTAAAGCCAATAAATATGAATTTTATTTGAGTTTATAATCACTACTTTCATTGCCAAAAATGTAAGGATTAACTGATTTCATATACTTCATGCGATATAATTTTATGTAAGTACCTCTGACATTAACATGACAAATTCCCAACTATATTTATCAGAATGTATCCCTATTGTTAAGCAACACATGACTATATTTTAAAGACCTGGTACTTTAATCAAAGATAAGTAAAATAACAAATCATGAATAAACACTTCTTTTTATCTCTTCTAATATTTTAACCTTGCTTCTTTCATTCAAATCTTTGGAATAGAAAAAGAAGCATTTGGGCTGGGGCTATAGCTCAGTGATACAACACCGGCCTCGCAAGTGGGAAGCACTAGGTTTGATCCTCAGCACCACATAGAAATAAATAAATAAAGATATTGTGTCCATCTACAACTAAAAAAAAAAAAAAAAAGCATTTAACATAATTTAACATAAATCTCTCAAAAACAGTTTTAAAGATAGAAGTTAAATCCACAAATTTGGATTTTAAGTTTCCTTCAAAAAAGGTATTTTCAATGCATTTAAATATTTAAATGGAATTACACTAAAAGCCCCCACTAATATAAAACCTTTTTTCTTAGGGATAACAAAATACTGAAAAAAAATCAAACTTGTAACAGCTTTTTTTATCCAAGCTTTTAGGAAACACATTTGTGAAGTTAAAAATTTCTGAATGCTAAAAATCTTTTCAAAAAACATCACAATTAAATTGGAAATCTCAAGACCTATGAAAAATATTTTTTAATAAACTGTGATTACTCTGATATACTTTATAAACTATCTCTCACATCTTACTATCCACTAGACTTTTTCATTCCTTTTTTGGATAGCATTCTTTCTCCCTTTTGGTCAAAAGAAATTCCTATAAATATTGGTACCTGTCATCTACATTCAATTCAACGTGAACCTCCCTCAAGTTATTAACTCACCTCTAAAGGAATTTCAATCCAATAAATCAGATGAACAACTGATCCAAAAGCCCTAAGAAACAAAATATATTCTAATATATTCCAATGTTAGATTCCAATACAGGTAAATGTGTTTAAAAAAAAAAAACAACTAAACATTCAATACTTATCTGAAGGGCTTAGAAGTTCTATTATCAACATCTGGACCAAGGCTTTCAACTTATTCTAACAAATGGTTAAAATAAGCAAAATAAATTGATTACAAGCAGGGCATCAAGACTACTAAGTGCAAAATGATTTTCCAAGAGGGTTTTCCCTTGGTAACCAATTTTCCATTCGACTTCCAGCATCATATAACTTGAACTGCTTCCAAAAAGCCACCTGTAGGAAATGAGATTTCTTTCAAAAATCTACCTCCAGGCCTCCATACTCCCTCTTCTCACCACCACCCTTAAGTACTCGATCTTTCTTATGCAATAGTTTCCATAAATACTACAATATTAAGGAATAAATTTTAATGAATACAAATCAAAGGAAATGAAGGAACATTAACTCTCATTCAAAACTTCTTTTAGTCTTTCCAATTATATTTTTAACGTTCCCATGATTCTCTTTAAAAAAGATGAACACAAAATCTGTCTGCTAAAGACTTTATTTATGAATCTATAATGGAACTCAGAATAGCAAAGAACAAGAAAATTTTCACATCAGTATTTATCAACCAAATACATCAGAGAATACTTCTATTTTTCATATAACGGAAAATGCCTAAAAATGCACATGAGAATATAAATATTGTCTAGTTTGTAGAACTTTAAGATAATGAAGAATTGCTTAAAGCAGTTTGCCAAAAAAGTTCATCACACTGTTAAAGACATACAATTCAAAAGAATCAAATGTAACTGATGAAATAACCATTTCATGGCTAATCTTTTCATAAAGTGCTATTTTCAGACAGAAAAAAGAATCTAGTAAAGATTTTATAAATTTAAATATTGAGACTTCATTCTGAAAGTATTAAATTTTTCTTCAGTACTGTGTTCATAACATTCATATATTCCCAATATAATAAGACTATAAGATTATAAATGATTACCTTAAAATTAAATAAAAATCTTTTCATTCACTGATAATTTCCTGGAAGTTAAAAATTACTACTACATTGTTAAATGAAGTTTTCATGATACAGGAGTGTACTAGACACAATTATTCATTGTTTTAAACATGATCTTTGGTTTGAAGCTGTCTTATTATTAGTTGCATGGTTGTACTTAGTAAAATATTTGTAAAATAGCACACTAGTTTCATTTGAAACATAAAATAAAATCCAGTCCATGGTCTAAAAGCAATGAATGGCATATACCAAGAAATCTGGCACAGTGAGTTCCCTGATATCCAAAACTGTCAAGAGCTAAATGAAGTCCTGTTGCTGAGGAGTGCCTCCTCCTTTGACTGCTCAACTCATTAATATCATTAGCCAATGAGAAGTTAGTTGGAAAAAAACTCTGAATGAAGGCACATAGGTACAGATCTTAAGCAGATAAGTAAGATCAAATCAATTGCATTGTGTAAGCATGGGCATATCCTCTCCAAATGCACACATCCTCATGTTTAGAGGTGAATACCATCACTGAATAGATTTTTGCCAAGGAACAACTCTACATGGATGCATGTATCCTAGAAATCAGAACTAGCTGATGGTTTTCTGGAATTAAAATCTTGGATGATGTAAAAGTTGGTCTTTCCCCCAAATGAAAAATATTAAATTGATAGAGCAAACAGATGCAATAACATTGGAAAATGTCACAAAATTGAATCTCAGAAAGAACAAATTAAATTTCATAAATGAAGGCTGCTGCTGATCTCTTCTCTCTCTCCTTGAATAATCAAATGTAAATGCCTTTTGGCAATAGCAGCATTTAAATCCCACAAAAAATCAAGTAGTGACCCATTAAGGAGCAGCTCCATTGGCACAAACTGTAAAACCTGCTGGGGTGCATCAGAGTTAAGCAAAGTACTCAACAATTCATTCATATTCTGCAGATACTGGAAAACTGGATTTGGAAGATTCTGATAACCAACACATAGCAAGACTGCACAAGTTCTCAGGGGCTCAGAGGATGTGGGACAAGAAAACGTGATGAATCTAAAACAACTCTGGAGTACAAAGATCAAGCCAGCCATAAATCTTGTTAAGCAAGAAAGTACAGGCAAAATCATCATATCTCCTGCATGAAGCTGCTGTAATGAATGTAGAAGGCAGTTTAAAAACAAATGCTGGTAAGTTGGGTCTCCATCATGAAGCAATGAACAGTTAAAAGTCATGAGTTCAGCTGATTCCAGGAGTTGAACTTCCACTGGTATGTTCATTTTTACATCATGGAGTGTTGGTAAACCCACAAGCAGGCACTTTATCTGGTTGCTGGGTTCTAAAACCTGTTCATCCTGAAGGCACTTGGTAAGGCTAAACAACTCAGAAAATATTAGTTCTTCTGAAAAAATGTGACAAGAACAATAACATTGCTGTGTTGGCCTGGAATCCAAATTTAAAGTTTCTCCTAAGGACTTTTCAATTGCTTCGTTCAGAGTCTTTAATATTTCACCATCACAAAACGGAGAACATTTTACTTTTGGCAATTTCTTTCCTTCTAAAATTTGCCATAAGTGACACTCAAGATTAGAAACTGTTCCTTCTAAAAGAGAATTTTGCCCAGGATGATATACAGCATGTTCTTCAGCCCAACTATTAAAGTATCCTTTGGCTATTTTATCTTTCCATGAAAGGGTTTCTAACATCTTCCTTTCATTATAGGTTTTAAAATATCTGTTCCTCTGCCCAAACCATTTTGTATTTGTACTACAACCAATGTTAGATTTTTTTACTAGCCAGTTATTTCTGGAAAGAGGCTTCAGTTGAAATTTTTGCATAAAATATTGTACAGCACAATCCCTTAAATTATTCAGCTTTGCCTGTTCCTCTTCTCCCATGGACTCAAACAGACGAATGTTCTCAGAAATTGTCTCTAGCTGATATTTATGAAAAAATGCACAACATTCTTCATGTCTTTTAAGAAATGATTCTGGAATCAAATTATGGGGAAAGAGTGCTTTTCTGGTCATTTCAGTCCCAAAATTCAGCACCATCTTAGATAACAGAGGATTGATAGCCTCTCTTCCTTTATAGCGGAGACACACCACATAGACTTCTGAGTTGCCTGCCTTGCTAGTAGCAGGTTTGAAAACATGGACTTGGTCAAAGGAACAGTTTAGCAGGTACATCAGGTTTATGGAACAATGTTCAAACAAAGTAAACATCTTCAGAACAAAAGAGCCACCATTTCCAAGAGTGGTCAGAGCAGTGACAACTTCACAGTAATGTAAAGAAGAGACTAAAGCTTCTTGTTCACCTGGGTTTCCTTGGCAATCAAAACTCCCGTCAGCAGTGATCAAGTGAATGGTTGCCATGCTGCTTACGAAATTCTGAAGTCCAGTCAGATATTTCATGGTCATGATATCACCAGTGTTATCTGGACCAAAGTACCACCAATTCAAGGTATTTGCAATGAGCCGGTCATCCATAATCATCATAAGATTGTCATTTGCTTCATGGTATGGATTCAGGGTATTAGCCACCCAACTCCAATCACAAGGGAACCGATGGGATTTTAAGTAGTGGTTAAGACTAGCTATAAAAGCTCCGGGGGCTTCACAAAGGTGTAGAGAATTCAGTTTTCCATTCTGAAAAGCTTCCTGTGGAATAAGTGGAAAGCTGCACAAAATCTCATGAAATTTACACCATGCTTGAGTGCAAAGTTCAGCATTCACAGATTTTCTTACATGAGAAATGATTTTTCCTGCTTTATTAGTGAAAGCAGTGTGCTCATGCCACTCATCCAGTTTCTTATCACTTAGGAGGTTTTTTACTTCATTTAGGGAGTTCTTCAAATCAAGAAATGCATTTAATTCTGCATGGTCACAGGTGAAAATCTCACTGGGATCTGGTAATTGCCATTCATTATTAACTGGCTTACAATAAGAAAAGTTCTTGGCAAAGAGTTCAAAAATGTCAGCAAGAACATCTGGGCTGAATGTCTCAGGACTTGCTAACTGCTGAACTGGTGGCTTTCTGCACTTACTCATTTTCAAGTCAAATCTAGAAAGAGAAACACAAAATTAAATCAATCATATTTATTAGTGAGTTAAATTTCATCAGTAGTAAATGTGATCACACCTATAACAAACCCCATAAGGAAAGGCTAATGTCAGAACACTCTGTTATAAAACAAGGCAATATGGAATAAATAAAAGCTTTATCCACCAGACCAGAGTCCAAATTCCTGCTCTGCTACTTACAGCTTAATAATTGTCTGAGAAAAGTACTTCACCTCTTGGGATTCAGTTTCTTCTTATCAAAAAAAAAATGGACTTATCATTGTTTTAGAGGAGAATAAAACACACTAGCATATAAAAAGAATATACCAAAGAATATTTGTCAGTGAATGTCAACTCTTATTATCATAATAAGCCATCTAGCTTCTTCCCAGAGTTCTCTACCCATGGTTGTGACACCATCCACATGGCCTCAAACACATACACTTAAGAGATTTATCCATGGACATGACTTTGGATCAAGCTCTAACAAGGGTCTTTAAGACTTTTTTAGTTCCCATTATACTTTACCTCCTCCTAGGAGGTGATGGTGCATGTGAATCCAGTACTGGTCCCTCTATCAAGCCTTTCTGCTACCACCAACTACTACTGCTAAATACATTCTCTGCCCAGATTTCACTTTGGTGGCATCAATCATTTCTACAGTTCACGACAAAAATTTATTGCTCTAGTTTGAATCTGAAATGTCCCCCAAAGGCACATGTGTTAAAGACTTGTTTCCCGGCCCATGCTGCTAATGGAATACGGTGGAACCTCTAAGAGGTGGGGCCATGTGGAAGAAAGTTAGATTATTAGGGCATGCCCTTGAAGAGCTATTGGAACCCCAGCCCCTTCCTCTCATTTTGTATCCTGGGTACGAGCTATAAAGCCCTTTTTCTCCATGCACTCCCAGCCATGATATTCTGCCTCACCACAGATCCAAAGGCAATGGGCCATCAGTCTGTGGCCAGAAACCTCTGAAACTGTGAGCCAAAATAAACCTTTTCTAAGTTGTTTATCTCAGGTATTTTGCCACAGCAATGGAAAGCTGACTATACACTCATTATACTGCTTGTAAACTAGGTTGTACTTGAATGGTTAGTCTCCTTCTGCTTCATGTTGAAATGACCAATAATCCCTCTGACATCTCTATAAATTATACATTCCTGACTATCATATGATCAGTCAGACAGCTCCACATTTACATTATAAAATTTCATTATAAAATTTAACATACTTTCTTAGCAGAATTTTAAATCATCAAATTTAAATTTGTAAAATATCCTTACTGAATATAATTACAGTCCCTCTATAGCCTGTGTTATAACACTAAGAAACCAAAACCATCTGCCTCTAGGGAAGGAAAAGGATATGAGAGAAGGAAGTATGACTTAATTGGCAGTTTTAGAAAAGTTCTAAATTTTAAAAGATAGGACAATGAGTATTATATGGCACCTGTCAGTGCAATTTAATAGGTACATTAGTTCATGAAGTCTGCACTTACTTAGCATATTCAATGTATTCTACAACTGTTTTTTATCTCAATTTTTTTTAATCTCAATTTGTTAGATGTTAAAAAAAAAAACTGACAACCAAATCACCATCCCAAAATACACTGCTGGTTCAAGGATTACAATGGGAAATAAAGGTGAACTGTCATAATAAATACAATATCCAGTTGACTTCATTCTATTTGTTTTGTATTGTTCTGTTTGTTCTTATATTGTTCTCTCTTTTTTTCCCACTATTTTCTTAGTTGTCAATGGACCTGATTTATATGCAGTGCTGAGAATTGAACCCAGGGCCTCACACATGCTAGGCAAGTGCTCTACCACTGAGCCACAACCCCAGCCCTCATTCTTTTTTATTTGTTTTACAAGTTAATCCATCAGTCTGCAAACTCCTTAAAGTAATAAGAACCTTCCTAGTCATTTATTTACCATACTGTATTCACAAATTACATGAAAATACAGGTTAAATAAGTCACAAATACACACCAACATTTTTTCCTTACCTTAGATCAATCGTCTTTATACTGTTACATTGTATTTAGACAGTTTTCTGAAAGAAGGCATTTCTGCATTTACTAAAATCCTAAGGTGGTTAAATACAACTTTATTACAGCAAGCTCTTCTCTCTTAATTCACACAGCACTTACTGGCAATTACAACCAAATGTATTCTATTTTGGAAAAAGTCTGATTTTAGTCATTAACTTCGCATACTAATTAATAGCTGCAATTAAGGTGTGAAATCTTACCTACGTTAAATAGGTAATTGCCTGAGAAGGAGTAAAGGAGTTCAAACACCTCCATGGTTCTGACTATACTTTATTGGTATGACCACCTAATTTTTATTAGTCCTCCCCTTACTCATTCCACTCCACCCACACAAATCTTCCCCCTGATCACAGAAGACACCAGACACATTCCAAGCCAAAAACCTTTGCAGTGGCTGGTCCCTCTACCTGGAATGGTCTTCCCCAGATATCTGCACAGCTAATTCCCTTACTTCCTTCCAGTATTTTCTCAAGTGTAATTTTCTCTATGAAGGCTACCCTTGACATACTTACTTAAAATTGCACCTTGCATTCCCAATTTCCCTTACCTTACTTTCTTTTTTCCATGGCATTTATTTCCCTCTAACTTATTCATGGTTACTGATTATTGTGTGTCCTCCTCAAACTAGAAAGTAAGCTCCACAGGTAAGAATCTTTGTTTTGTTTACTTACATATCATCCCAAGAGATTAGAACAGTGCCAACTAGGACACAGTAAAGCAGCAACAAGTCTTACTGAATAAATGAATGGATAACACACTTTGCAAAAGAATCACTGCTCTAATCACGTTTGAATACGAATCATAATAATGCATTTTAACTTCACTCCAGCACTTCCATGCACAACCAAAAAAAAGAGAAGAAAAAAACCTCTGCAGTTTCCAGAGTGCATGGAAAAACTTTCCAGTATGTGATCCTCAATCACTTTCATTAAGCACTTCATAAAGCTTTGTGGCATCATAATTCTGCTAGGTGGATCTGTATTACTATTCTTATATTGCAGACTCGAGCACGAAAATTTGTAGTTTCCTGCCCAAAATCACAAAGGGAACACTTGCACAATTCGTAAAACTAGTGAACCTAACTCAAACCCCACAAGATCTCAACAGTTGTTGCCTCTCCAGTTGATACAAAGGAGTTTTACAAGTGTTTTCCTCCAACTCCTCTGGCCAGGAACTGTGAAAACAGAAGGGTGTACCCAGAGCTTACTTTGGGGCTGGGGTACCCAGGATCTCACTTCACCTAGTGGAAGGGAGTCCCAAGCCCTCCCGAGTCGTCCCCGCCCCTGCCTCGCCCACTGAAAGTCCAAGGAGGATCAGGCTCCTAACCCGGCCTGCATTACCTTCGCTCACGCCCACCTGGGTCCCCAGGGTCTGGAGAAGCTGCTCTTCTTCACTCCCACTCCTCACTCGTGGGAGCCATTCTCACTTCCGCTCCAGGGACTGCTTCCTGGGGTGGTCACTCCTTGGATCCGCCACACCTTCAGCCGCAGGGCAGCAAGGCAGCGCGCCCTGAGGCCAAGAAGGCGGCCTGGACCCGCCCTCGCGGCACCGGGGGCCAGAACTCTCCTCCAGGCCGCGCCCCCGGCAAACACGGACGGGGGCCGGCTAGAGGGCCCTGACAGTCACGTTGCGCACGCGCCTTCTCGGCTAGGTTTGCGTCACGTGCGTAAATGCTACGCACGCCGTTGACTTTGGCAATGCTGAGGCCCGGGCCCCCTAGGTTTTGTTTCTCCGGGAGGTACTCAACGGGAAAGGGCCAGTCTCCCGCCCTCTGGCCGCTATGGCAACTGAAGCTGCGCGCGCAGGAGCGTCCCTTGGCTCCGCCCCTAAGGGAGTGAAGGGGTGGGATGGGGCGGGGCCGACTTACCCAGATCGCGCTGGCTCCGCCCACCCAGGTGCTGGACCTTAGGTTTTCCTGCGCTGTGATGTTAGTTCCTAGAACAGATCTTAATAAAACTGGAGCTTGAAAGACAAGAGTTTAAAAGCCAAACTAGGAAAACTGCTAGACAATACTGTTATTGTGTGTGTGTGTGTATTTATAAGCCAGTAAGAAAAATAAAAACCTCAGAAAAAAAAGTATGAAGATTCTAATAGGCAGTAAACAAACAGCCAGTAAAAACATACAAAGTTGTATAACCTATTATTAAAAATTAGGAATTAAAATATTGAAAACTATACATTTATCAAAGATTTAAAAGATTGATAGTGGCCACTGTCGGCGAGAATATAAAGAAATAGGTTCACATCTGCGGGTGGGACTAAAAATTAGTATTTTTAGTAGTAACCTTACAGAAGGCAGACTTTTAAAATGAGTATGCACTTTAACACAGCAATTACCACTTCTAGCAATTTGCCATTAAGAAAAACCCAACAGTTGACTCTCAATTTGGACAAATCTTGATTTCAGCACTTTAATAATAAAAAACAAAACTCTCTGCCTAACGGAGTTAATTATTTATGATACACCCATATAATGTTCATGTGCATTACATGCAGCCATTATATATGTGACAACAGTATGCATGAAAATAAAATGGTATAGAAATGTTTGTAAAGTTTGAACCGTTTATATAAATATATCCAAACATAATAAATATGAAATGCACTTTTTAAATATAATACTTGCCCATATATATTTTATTTAATACTTGCAGAGGCCCTGGATTCTATCCTTAGCACTGAAAAGAAGAAATAATGCTAGGTCATTTGAATATTAGTATGGAAACAAATTTATTTGGACTCTTTCTTCACATTATAAACAAAAATACATCTCATTTGGATTGTCAATCTATATTTTAAACATCAAAGAATAAGGGGCTGGGGCTGTAGCTCAGCGGTAGAGTGCTTGCCTAGCATGGGTAAAGCACTGGGTTCGATCCTTTGCACCATATTAAAAATAAATAAATAAAATAAAGTTATAAAAAATATATATTAAAAAATCAAAGAATAAGAAAACATTAGAACATGTGTGTGACCTTGAAGTAGACTAAAACTTTGTAACAGGACCCAAAAAGCATCAACTATAAGTAGAAAAATGTATAAATTGATCTATATTAAAATTAAGAATGTGTTTATCAAAATATACCACCAATGTGAAAAAGCAACCTATAAAGTGGGAGAAGTTATATACATATATAGAGAGATAGATATTTCAGAATATAAAACTCCCACAAATAAATAAGGACAAGATATCCCAATATAAAAACTGACAGACAATTCCAAAAAAGAATATCTAAGAGGCCAATAAACATATGAAAAAGTGCTCAATTTCATTAACCTTTGGGGAAATGCAAACTAAAACCATAAAAATATACATTAACCCCCCCCMAAAAAAGATACCATTGTCCATCCACTAGAATGAGTAAAATAAAAAGACTGAAAACATAGATGTTGGGGAGAATGGGTCAATGGAAAACTGAAAGAAATCTTCCAAACTTACCAGGTGGCTCCTTCCTTATGTCCTTTCTTTTTCTTTGAATTTCAGTTTTTTTAAGTCCAGTGAAATGCTCACATTGCAAGTGTTCTATTCAATCCCTTCTGCCAAAATGCCTATGGAATATTTTAGGAAGTGCMATCGAGCTTCTTCTCAGCTTCCCACCCTCAAGAAACAACCATAATCTGGCTGCTTTCAAAATGGTAAGCCCAAGGGATCCTCTGAGTAGCTGGGGCTACAGATGCATACTACCACACCTGAACTACTGATCTATTTTCTAACACCATATTTATGCCTACTAGGATAGGCAGAACTAAAAAATATAAAAGTGTATACGTTTTTATTTTCAGCCAGGTCATTGAATAGATTAAAAAGTTTCTCAACCTCAACACTAATTAACACTTTGAGGATCAGTGAGACAGAGATGTATGTAAGTTTTTAAGAAACCTCCAGTTTTCCAAAAATGGTTGTACTATTTTACATCCCCAGCCACAGTGAAGTCTGATTGTTCAACTTGGTTGTTCACCAACCAAGATATTATTTTTAAGGAATGAGATAATATCATGGTACAAAATTAGATCTGGTTGCTCATCAAATAGACACGAAGATCAATGTAATAGTAGACACAGAGACAAACCCACATACTTATAGTCATCTGATACTGGACAAAGGTGCCAAAAATATATGTTGGAGAAAAGATAGCCTTTTTAACAAATGGTACTAGAGAAGTTGAATATCAATATGTACAAGAATAAAACTAGATCCCTCTCTCTCACCCTGTCCAAAAGACAAATCAAAGTGGACCAAAGACTTAGAAATTAGACCAGAAACCTTGCAAATGCTAGAAGAAAATATAGGGTCAACACTCCAACATAATGGTGCAAGCACTAACATTCTTAACAAGACTTCCTAAAGCTCAAGAAAGAAAACCAAGAATCTGTAAGTGGGATGGCATCAAATTAAAAACCTTTTGCACATCAAGAAAATGATAGAGAGCATGAAGAGAGAACCTGTGGAATGGGAGACGATTTTTACTAGCTACTCCTCCAACAGGATTAATGTCCAGAATATAAGAAGAACTCAAAGAAACACCAAAACACTCCAGATAACCAATCATTAAATGGGCAGAATAACAGACATTTCTCAAAAGAATAAATGACCAACAAATACGAATGACCAACCAATACATGAAAAAAAATGTTCAGCTTTGCTAACAAGCCAGGAAATGCAAATCAAAACTACACTGAGATTTCATCTTACTCCAGTCAGAATGGCAATTATCAAGAGTACAGATATTTAAAAATGCTAGTGAAGATATGGGGGAAAAGGTACATTCATACATTGTTGTTGGGACTACAAATTAGTACAACCACTTTGGAAAGCAATATGCAGATTCCTCAAAACATTAGGAATGGGCCACACACTGTGTGGCATGCCTGTAATCCCTGTGGCTCAGGAGGCTGAGACAGGAGAATCTCGAGTTAAAGCTGGCCTCAGCAATGGCGAGGGGCTAAGCAACTTAGTGAGACCCTGTCTCTAAATAAAATATAAAATAGGGCTGGGAATGTGGCTCAGTAGGCGAGTGCCCCTGAGTTCAATTCCCAGTACCAAAAAATAAAAATAAAAAGGAATAGGAATGGCACTGCCATGTGACCCAGCAATCCCACTCCTCAGCATATATCCAAAAGAACTAAAATCAGCATACTCTAGTGATGCAGGCACACCAATGTTTATAGCAGTCCAACTCACAATAGCCAAGTTACAGAACCAGCCAATGTGCTGGTTCATTATCAACGGATGAATGGATAAAGAAGATATGGTATATTACACAATGGAGTTTTACTCAGTCAGAAAGAAGAATGAAATTACGGTATTTTCAGTTAAATGGATGGATATATATAATATCATGTAAGTGAAATAATCACACTCAGAGAAGTGTTTTCCTTTTTCTCTCATATGCAGTAGCTAGACCAATAAAGGGGAAAAAAAGAGGGGGTGGGGGGTTGGAGCTCAGGAAATTAGAGGGAAGGTCAGTGGAGTAGAGGAAGGAGATTGGGGAGGTAGAAGGAGAGACAGAAAAAGGGGAGAAATGCAGAATAAATTTGACAAAATTACTCCGTGTACAAGTATAAATAGATCACAGTGGATTCTACCTGCATGGATATCTATAAAGCACCAATTTAATATTTACAGTGGAAAACCAGTGAAGAAGAGGAAGGGGAATAGTGGGAGGGAGGAGGAAAGGGAATGAAGCAGCACTGGGGACTGAAATGGATCAAATTAAATTTCATGTTTTATGAACCCGCTGTTATGTATTAACTATACTGCACTGATAAAGGCATAAAAAGCAATTCTGGTTCTTTCACATTCTTGTCAACTTTTGGCCTTTCAGACATTAGTGGGAATCAGTTGCTTTTTAAATGTGCTTCTTAATAAATATTAATAAAAAGGTAAGTATGTGAATATTGTTCTTTTGAGGAACTAAGGAGTAGGTGAAGGATATGTAATGTTCTAAAATTGCTGTGTTCCCTGAGGTTTATAAATACTATCGTGAATATTCCAAACAGTTAACCTTTTAGTGAGTCTGCCCTAACTAAAATAATCACAACATTTAGTGGGTATAAAATATGTGCTGGGAACTGTACTTCTTTTTAAAACTTTTAGTTTCTTTTATTCCATTTAGCAGATATATTTATTGCCCCATTTTGTTAAGAGAAATTAAGGATCAAGGTGACTAAACAATGCACTGAAGTTCATCTAGTCCATAGTAGACTCGGGTCTGCATGACACAAGGTCCATCTATTATGCAGAGAATTCCTAGAAATTACTTCCAATAATTTAAAAAAATGTCATATTCATGGCCCAAAACAAGTGTATAGTAGAACAATAATTTTCAAAAAAAAGGGATGAATTTCATTCTTTTTCTCCCCACACAAGTAAGAGGGTAAGTTGTTATAATGTTTTTGGAAAAGATGAATGTATGAGTGCATGACACTAGAACCCAATACTTTCAAAAGTCGAAGAAAATAACCAAGCATTACACTAACAGATTTGCAAATTCAGATGAACAT